CACCACCATCGTGTTGTTCTTCAGCCTGAATGTAAATGATACTTGAGGCTGGAGAATCAAGTGAATTAAGTCATCAGTACGTGTGTGGCACAAGGGACGTGGACCAGCATGAAGGAGCAATAAAAACCTGGACATACTAAGAAGAGCACAGGCAGAATGCTCAAATCTAATTAAGAAGGTGGAAGGAAAGATGTGAGCAGAGGGACTTCCCTGGTGGTCCCATGGTTAAGACTCCATGCTCCCAGTGCAGGGAGCCCAGGTTCGATCCCTGGGCGGGGAACTAGATCCCGCATGCTGCAACTAAGACCAGGCACAGCCTAAATAAATAATAACACAAATCAATAAATATTAAAAAAAAAAAAAAAAAAAAAAAATAAAAAAAAAAAAAAAAAAAAAAGATGTGAGCAGAGGCAGGACCCAGCGCTAGGGCACAGGCTCTGAAAACACCCATGTTTCCAGCCAGGGGAAGCACCAGAACCACCACCCCACCCTGAGTTCACCCTCACCTCCTGGTGGGTTAGGGAAGTGTGGCCTAGAGTTTCTGCATGTGGGTCAGGACAAGACTCAGGATCCTTCCAACCAACACAGTTAAAACTAGGAGCACATGAACCAGTTCAACTGAGGCGATGCTCACTTCTCTCTTAAACCAGATAGGCCTGCTTTGGTGAATAACGTTTTAGATCCAAGAATGTTTTTCTTTATCTTTTCTCTGGCAGCAGGTGTGCGCGGCAGGGCTGGGTCTCTCCTTGGTTTGTTTGGGGGTCTCCAGAGGTAGAGGCCCCCAGCACATGGGCTATAGGAGAGCTGCTTCTTCCCACGTGGGGAGGCAGGGGTGGGTCGCACACATGGAGCGTGCAGTCCTGCTGGGAAGGTCTCATTTTTCGTCTAAGTTCCCTTGCAACAGTGGGGAATTCAGTGAGGCCCAACAGCAACTGAAAATTGGATTTAAGACTGAAGGCAGCTCCAATACCTCAGGACAATTAGCGTTCATGTTGCTGACTACAGTTACTTTCATAAAATGTGAGTTACTTTCATAAAATGCATCATGGCCTTACATGACTGTGATTACTAGAGCAATGATGGGCTCTTTCTTGATAAAGCACAGAGCCTAGGGCTAAAGAGGCAGTGACACTAACTAGATCTGTGGATCACTTAGCCCCCTGGGACTCAATTTTCTCATCTGTAAAATGGGGAATTAGGTGATGTCTATCCTTCTTGCACTCCAGCAGTCCATGGTTGTTTGCAAGCTCACCTCTCAGTGAGGTGAGCCCAGTTCTGTGGAGAAACGTGTGGGCAGACTTGGCTTTTTGTAGGGTCTACTTTTAGCCATTTTTTGCCGTAAAAGGTCCAACCCAATTTAAGGTAACTCCTTTCCACCTTGTTGGTTCCTGGTCCACCTCAATTCTATTCTAGGGTTTCTGGGTTGGTATAAGCCAAACACCCACCAAGTGTCTGTAACTGGACTTGCACCTAACCTGGGAGGCCTGAGAATGTGACAATTTTTAAGATGCCATGTTCGAGTGCTGTAAACCATCAAATCTCCCCTGGGGTGATTTCAATTATTGCATGGATCCTTTCAGAAGTACTCCCCCCAGTATTATATTGGTAATTACTGCTCTATTTCACCCAACAGTTTTCAAGTTAGAGCTCATTTCTTTTATGTTCCATTCCAGATTAAAACATCGGTTATTTGGGCAACCCCAAATGTTTCCTTCTCGATCCCGTTATGGGTAATAATACTAGCCATACTTCTTGGATTATTGGTTCTGGCCATTTTAACCTTGGCTTTATGGAAGGTAAGTTTATTTGCTTTCTTTTCCTTTTTCAGTAGAGAGGCCACTGAGAGGATTTAGAAGGATATACCTAGGATTTTAAAAGACAAGGCTAGAGGCATGATTTGGGGATTTCCAACATAGGGACATGAAGGGAAAGTGGTCTTGTTTGCTTTGGCAAACTTAGTATATGCTTGTGGAACTGACATTTAAGAAGATTGAGGGTGTTACTGCCGCTTTTGCCTTGCAATTTCTTGTAAATAAATGTAAAGAGAGTTGGACTTTATTAACTAAGACCTGTGATCTTCTTTCCAATATGCTTGGAGTGATCATGTTATGATGAAGACTTCTTTTTCTTATTTAATTAATCGAGATCTTAAGCTTTTTGTTGACACAATCCTATCAGCAATACTTGGAGACTTTATAAGCACTACACGGATGCAATTAATATAGTAATTAATTATTACATGGGCTTTCAATGACACCACACAGATCATGCATGTTCTAATATTCTCAGACTTGCTTTTTTGATCTTGCCAACTAGTCCATCTCCATTAAGAAGCCTTAACTTACTCTTTCATGTGTTTTGCTGAAGTTTCTGCTAAAAGTCTACAATGTGGATTAATTTCTGGTCCCCAAATCACAGTACTGCCAAGTTTCACAGAGCTTTCCATTCCAAAATAGAAACAATGTCACAATGACATGACTTTGAAAGTAATTAATCCAGTCACATCTTAGTTAATCGCTATTGTTGTCATTCTCCAAAATCGCAGTGTATTTTTATTTTGAAACAACATGAGGCATGCTTAATAAACTGAGAAAACCTTGCCTTTTGAGTTAAATAATGGCTTTCCTAATCATTATCAGCTGTTTTGTGCCATCCTGAGCCCACAAAGGTCTACTGCAGTCTACCTTTACAAATAGACTTTCATGTTAGTCTGTTATTTATAGAAACTTTATGTCCATAAGTGATGCAATGATACATAGCAATTGATAGAATATTGCACTAGTCCTACAAAGGAAAGATGACTCAATGGTTATAAGTCAAACCCAACAAATTGGGCTTCCAACCTAAGAAACAATAAGAATTAAGGTTCTAGGTTTCTGGGAAAAGTTATATTCTCCTAGACCAAGTACTCCTTTGAAATTCAGGAGAATGAAAATTCTATAATCACCTCTTCCCTGAGTTGCTGATTGATCTTCGGAGTCACGAAGATGTTCTGGGATTGAAATAAAGGACCCATCTAATTTTCCTCCATATACTGTATGTTCCACCAAGTGCAGAGAGATAGACAAACATCTCCTCACTTCTTCCTTCAGTCCATCCCAAGGTAGCCCATAGTCCACTTCAGAATTCTGCCATCCCTGCCTGGCAGTTCACATTGCTGCTGGCTCCAGAAAACATGTCAAAAGCAGAGAGGGACTCCTTGGGCCAGGTTGCTGTAACCCCAGAAAAATATACGAGGTCCATAAGCGGTTTATATAAAATAAACATTCTCCCACCACCATGGACGTGGCAGGAAGGACACAGACGCTCTGCGTAGACAACGAATTCCTCTCTGCAGGTAAAGAACACACTGCTTTCACCTCCTAATTTGGAGAATTGGGCAGATTATATTCTCAGAGCACCAAATTCCTTAGACAACAAATAAAGGGAAAACTCTTAGAATGAGGACTTTCACAAATTCTCAGGATGACCTGACTTGCTAGCCCATTTCTCTCTTTGTAGTGCGGATTCTTTGACCGAGCAAGACCCCCACAGGATGATATGAACGACAGGGAACAGCTGACCAATGAGAAAACCCCTGAGGCGTGAAAAGGAAAACCAAAGACCAAACAAACTCCGACACTGGTCCAGTTCAAAGAAAAGAAGGATCAGGAAGGTTCAGCCAAGGTTTTCCTCTACCTGCCAGTATCCTAAGAATTGGAAAGGCCATGGTATCACCTTGTCTACACTGTGCTTTAGAAAAGCTGCCTCGGATCCCAGTGACCCTTTTGGGGAAGGAAGCATCCTTGACACTGCAGAAACAATGGACAATCGCGGAAGATGTCTTTGGCTTGAGTCCTTCCGTATTTGGCAGACACTTTGAAATGGGTATGGGAACATGAGGTTGCTTTCCAGATAAATCCAACTGAAGTCTCAAAGATGCAATGTCTGAATTAGGATAGACTTTAGAAGGTGAACTAGGACCAAACCTTCCGACACTACTGTATCCAACGGAATATTTGACACCTCCCTCGGGAAAAGAAACATTTCTAACGACGTTACTGCTCAGGGAGACCAACCTATGCTGTTGGGACTGTGAAAGTACTTTGGAAACGGCAAAGATCATCTTTGTAAGTGAGGATAACGATTTATTTATTTATTTTCCATGGCTCTAGGCTGATACTCTAGAGGATTTGGAAATTAAGATTTGGTTCTTGCTGGTTTTCAAAATCACTCACTAGCTTTCCTTCCGAGATATCCAGTTTGTGCAGAATATATCATTTAACAGAACTTAGTCAGGATTTAGACAGCGTTAAAGAAAAACAAATTGGTATTCGAAGACCGTTTCACTCAACACCTTGCTGCCTTCTACCTGAAATTACTTTTATTCACACTTTCCAGGGCCTCACATCTGCTTAATTTAGCTTTGTAAAAAGTTGCATTTGTATCTCCTTTTACAAAAAAAAAAAATAATAATAATCTTTCTATTGACTTAATTAGCAATATACAAATTTCCAGGGACTCTTGACCCTAGGCGGTGCTTAAAAGTAATGGTAAAATTTCTAGAGTCCATTAATAAAAAAGCAATTTAATAATTTGGGTAAACATATTATTTTTAATATCTACAAGAGGCAATGCCAACATTTAGCTTGGTATTAAACACCTATTTTTTTCTACTACACCTCAAACTTATATTCACAGAAAAGACATGTTAAACAAAAATAGGAGGAAACATAAAGTTAGGCAGGTGTGAGATGAACCTAGAAAACATGTTCCTAGGGATTTTATTTAGAATTGTCTATTCCCACTTTACTATTCATTTTTACTGCTAATCTTTATAGTACATGACTTTGGAAAATAATTTTTACTTAAGCTATTTTCCCAGTGCCTTTAATTTAACCATCACAGAAACTTTATGTTTAAAACTCTTGTAAATAATCCGTAATCATATGTAACAGTATCATTTTTCAAGTAAAATTGACCAGCCAAATTTATATAGTCTGCCCAAGTTTGTATCCCTTTTATGATAAGGAAAAACTATTATGAAGAGATGCTGAACAAATTTTATATTTATGTGCAATATTTTATAGACCTATGTATCAAAAGCATGTTTACACTGGCATTAGTTATTTTTAAAATTAATATCCTGAATATTAAGTATGATAGAACCAGCAGACCCAAATCCTTAAGTTTATGAAGCAGTTGGAAAATTTATATCCCTATTTCAACAATCACACTTGATTTGAAAGATGAGCCAGACTCACAGACACTAAATTTTCGGTCATGACTTAACCTGGAGAGGAGCCATTTGGTTACAGCTGCACAACTTCTTTGGAAACCAAACGAAAGGCACATGGATGAATACACTGAACAGTTCATACTCTTCCCGCTTGTGAGTTAAATTCTGTCACGGTAGTGGTTTCAAGCTGTCAGGAACCGAAGTCTGGCTCCCAGTGTGTGTGGCTCACTGGGTGAGAACTGCACATGTTTCAAAGAGTTGGAGGGTCCCACACCAGCCTCAGGGGGTCTTAGGTGTTAGTTGTCTGGGTAGAATTGGTCGTACAGGGAGGTGGCCGTTTCTGTAAGATGATTGGAGGGATGTCTCTCCAATTGTATCACAGAGATGGGTCTCTCTTCCCCCAAATAAAGCCCCAACTCTTCTCGTCACGCCTGACTTCTGGCCAAGAGAGAATAAAAGATCCCTGAGAAAACACACCTATTGCCTTTTAAGCTAACCTGTGCGAAGGAACTCTTAGCTGGGACGCTATGAGCCAGGGCGTACAGACACCTGGAGGAGACTGAGGTGCCAGGGGCAAGGCTGGATCCAGAACAGAGCAGGTATGAGGACTTCAGAGGCAAGCGCCAGGCTCACAGTCTCAGCCAAGAGTGGTCCCCGTCTAGAAGGACAGGCGCTGCCACCTGCAGGCAGTTCACAGACAGCCATCAACGTACACTGAGGTCAAGTGTGTTCTTGAGCATCCCCCCGCATGGAGAATATTCTACCAGTGCACTGAGTGAATATGCTTCTCATCATGTAAAGCCAATCACTTTCATCATTCATAATGTGCCGTGCTTCTCTTAGAATCTATCTATATTTTAGATATGCCTTTTGAAATACTTGCAGCTAGCTTTTAAGAATGGGGGAAAAAATGGGCAAATCAAGTTTTATAAACTTGGAGATTTTTATACACTAAGTAAACAACATGGACCAGTCGCCACTGAAGCCCCACTCTTTGAACTCAACTCTTGCTTTATTTAAATACACGTGTAGATATCTGTGAAGATTTTCATGTACCCATTTACCTTGTCACTAATAAAATTAAAAATTAAAGACATGATGACATATGTGTGGTTTGTTTCACAAGCAACGTAAAGCTTTCCCACAATGGCAGACATCAAAGGTTTCTGTCTTTATGCCTTCATTTATTTATTTATTTATTTATTTATTTATTTTTGGCTGCGTTGGGTCTTCGTTGCTGTGTGGGCTTTCTCTAGTTGAGGTGAGCAGGAGTTGCTCCCCGTTGTGGCGTGCAGGCCTCTCATGGCGGTGGCCTCTTCTGTGGCAGAGCACGGGCTCCAGGGGCACAGGCTTCAGTAGTTGTGGCACATGGGCTCAGTAGTTGTGGCACACAGGCTCAGAAGTTGTGACTCGTGGGCTCTAGGGTACAGGCTCAGTAGTCGTGGTGCACGGGCTCAGTAGTTGCTCCACAGCACGTGGGATCTTCCCGGACCAGAGCTCAAATCCATGTCCCCTGCATTGGCAGGTAGACTCCTAACAACTGTGCCACCAGGGAAGTCCCACGCCTTGATTCTTTACTACAAAAACATTTAACATTGGAAGAGATTTGAAAGAGTGAGAACACGACACTTCTTTGGGATGATGAACATGTTCTAAACTTAGATTGTGGTGATGTTTGCATGAATAAACTAAGAAGGACTGGATTATATGCTTTAAATCGGTGACTTTTATGGTATGTGAATTAAATCTCAATACATATGTTTAAAAAGGTGTGAGTCATTTCTAATACCTACACTTTCATACAACTGATTTCTTTTCTCTACACTGCTGTCAAATTTTGTCCATATAAAAATCTTTGCTTTTTTATGAAGCCTTCTTCGAGTCTTCGGCCAACTTAAAGGCTCCTCCTGTTCTCCAATGGCATTTTGTGAATGACTACACTTTTCCGTTTGTTCTCATGACTGTTTTCCAGCTGGGCGGTCCCTCTGTGTGAGCAGGAATATCTTTCACCTTTGTGTTTCCTACACCTAGCACCAACATCTGTTATATAGTCAGTGCTCAAAAACCGTTCTAAAGTGAACGAATGAATATACATATGTGCACAGTAACAATCATGGGAAATATGTACTTCTGTAATCTGCTCCCGTTATAAAGCTTGGAGACACACACATTTTTTATCCTATTTATAGTGTTCACACAGTGTTGTTATAATAGTTACCCAATGTTTGATCCAATTAGCAGATCATCATTTGTTTAACCAACCCTCTTACTGGAAATATTTGTTCACAGATTCATATATTAAGAATAGCATGAAACTGAATACTTTCATACATGAGGCTTCTTTTTGGTTATTTTGGTTATTTCAATGAGTAAACTTCAAAAAAGTGAGGTGGTTTGGTTAAAGTATATGAAGAGTTTTGTAGTTCTTGATAATATATGTTAAGAGGACTAGATCAATTTGCATTAACCTAAAATACCATTTCCTTCATAATTCTGTCAGCATTTTAAAATATTTTGGTAATTGTTTTCAAATATTACTTTCTTTCAATTTGTATTTCACTGGAATTTGGTACATTTAATGTACACATTTGGGTTCTAGTATTTATCAACCATTTAATACAGACCAATTTATTGCTCATAAAGGTATTTAAATAATTGCCACTTCTCTGGTGTTCATGAATTACAGTGAAAAGAACCCAGTGCCTGGATACTTTTCTTATAGCCGAAAGCAAGCAGTAGGATGAATCCTTCACTTCATACTGTATATTCACTCACACTTTAAAGCCTAGACATATCTAAAAACTCAGGGTGGTCCAGAAGTGCCTATGTATCCCAGAAGAAAAAACGTAAAAGGAAATAAGATTCAGGAATATTGGTGCTGAAAATCAATGCACCATCCCAGTACAAACTAGCTGAGTGGGGCAAGACTTCCCTGCAGCACACCCAGAATAATCCATAATGGGCTAGCCCCACCGGTCAGAGCCTGCACATGCTCACAGTGGGGGAAATGAAAGAAGCCTTGTTGTGTCTTGAGAGTAGTAAAGTGCTTTCTAGTTGTATGTATGCAACAAGAGCTCAGCCTTCTCACCAAATTCTGTTGATACCTTTGTCACTTCCAGCCATTTTATATGCAGACAATGAACAGCATCAAAACTTTCTAAAGGTTGAGTTGAGATCTGGGTGCCTAGAGTGGGCAAAATAAGATAAGGATCCCTCCTTGGAGAACTCTGAGAAAAGGCAGAATTCCCTCCAGGGTTGCACACTTCCTCTGTGAAAGGTGACCGTCTCACAGGTTACCTTTATAAGACACAGCACCCTGGTGACCTCAGGAAGAACCAAAACATGAACACCTCTGGCTGCTATCCATGAA